AAGAAGATGAAGGGCTTTGATTGGTTCATTTTCTTATGCATTATGCAAAACTATCCTCTCCTTCTTAGGTTGAAGAAAAAAAAGATCGTTACGTGTTCGTTGCAAACATTCGTTCGCAATCATTTGTTCTTGCTAGCCTAGATCATCTGGGTCCACCCGATGAACATACGCGAGTTGCACAGTAATCTATATTTTATCGCTAAAGGTTTAATATTCACCCAAACAGGATTCGAAATAAGAACGAAAGTGAATTAATAAAAGAATGAGAAGAGAAGCTGTATTCGGCAGCCAATCTTTAGCCGAGCGATTCGCTCGCGACATATTATTTAACAACAGAGTTTAACCACCTAATCGCTCGGAGGATACTCATAACTCCTCATCTTCGCCTCGACTTTGTTTATACAGTGAATAGGATATAAAGATCCTTTTTTTTTCCTCTTTTTACTTACATGCTAGGCAATAAATGATCCAAATCTGCAATTCATTACGATAATTAAATCGATGAACGATAAACGGAAAGAAAGAAGGCAAAAAAATTCCAAGGTATGAATTGTTTGAAAAAAAAAAAAATGAAAAAAACATACATCTCTCTTTTTCTCTGTCTCGAGTCGACGATAAACTTTAATAACCCATAGATACTTATTATCATCATAATGATACAATTACAGTTTGCGATTATCACAATGCGAGAACCGCCAATAATAATAGTAATAATAATAATAATAATATCAATGATAATAATAATGGCAATAATATAATAATTAAAAATAAACTAGTTAATAATAACTAATAATAATAATAATCTTCGCCATACTAATTACCATCGTCATTACAATGATTCATTTAGCCGTTATGGTTGCCTATATACTATCCTCTTTTATATATACTTCTATATATATAGCTACAATATATAATATTTTCGTGTTGAAAAATCGTATACATTAGTGTTGTGTCGCAGGACCATTGCTTCTCTCTCTCTCTCTCTCTCTCTCTCTCTCTCTCTCTCTCGCTCTCTTTCTCGTTTATTCTCGCACCTTTATTTCTCTCAATGCGTCTGCTATGTATCATTCCGCGTTATATATCTTTCTTTTGCTCTTGATGAATCGCAGATGAGAAGGGTAAGAAGGGGGGAAAAAACACTGTTGTCGATGGCTGGAAGCATTCGTGTCAATATAAAGTCTTCAAGTTGAAAATTCGGAGAAAATTGCAGATCGCGGAATATATTGCTCTGAAACGAATCGCAGATTCCCTTTTCTTTCTCGCGCAGGCTGTTTATAGGGCATTTTGCGCGCGTATTAATTCTGCGAATGCGCTCTTCACTTCATAAAAAGCTTAGAAATATTCGATGCGACGTATTCTCTGGCAAGATCGCGAGATGCACGACGTTTTTTGACGTCCGTCGAGGTGGAGATCCCGATTCCAAGGGCGACGAGATCTCGGGTCTCGGTCGACATTATTAATTAACGTAACGTGGAGAATTGAAAAAGAAACGAAGGAAAGGAAGAAATAAAACATGCGCATAAGTAGATCCTCGAATTATTGATATCTCGCGATTCTTCTTTCCGTCGAGAGCCTATTCGTATATCCGCAGGCGAGAAACGGTGTCCGAGGGGAAGGCGAATCAGATGGAAATCTTGAGCGATTTTAGAACACGATTTGAGAACACGAGTGCCTCCAGACACGAGCGCGTTACGTAATCTTAATAGCTTAATATCGATTTTTAGTTCGTATTACTCGCCGTTCAAAGGCGAGCCTCGGATCACAGATAGTGAGGTGATCGGATTGCGCGAGCGTTATTCGCGATAACAACGCGGTCTCGTATTCGTATTCTTTTCCGCTTTTTCTTTCTCTCTTTTTCGCTCATTTTCGCACTCACACATACACGCACGCAAGTTCTCTCTTTCGCTTTCTTTCTTTCTTTTTTTTTCTTTTTTTTTTTCTTTAAGTTTGTCAGTATGCGTTCTTCCTGCGTTTCTCCTAAGGATTTCAAGGCGACAGCTCCTGAAAGCAAACAGCATCCGGCATCGTGTACGCGCGCGAATTCACAGTGGCGTGAAAAAAGATCGTCCGAGAAGATTCGCAAGAGGGACTTATCTCTCCTCGTCGTCGGAAACGTTCTCGCAAACGATTCCGACTCGATGCAGACATATACATCCGCGACGAACGAACTGTTTCGTTTATCCAGAAAGTACTGGGTGTCCCGACTTGTCCTCAGGCAACTGTGCACGCGCGCGCTCACGTATTTTTCTCTCTTTGTTTTTCTTTCTTTTTTTTTTGTTCATTCAAAACGCAGTCCTCGTGTGTCCTCTGCTCGGTTCGTTACAACAAGAGATCTCTTTTCCCGCCGCACGCGGAGTAGCGTGCGAGATATACAGATATACGAAAGTATAGAATGTATATATAATATATATATATTTTTTATACACATGTATATATACGTATACACAATACATATGTACCTACGTACGTACGGTCAACTAAGGGTAGACAGGCGCAATCACGTGTCGAGTCGAATCCGATTGATCGGCCGCGCTTAGGATTTTTGTCCGTCGACGTCATGAAAACCGGGCGATCGACTTCTCTTTTTTTTTTAGAGGCCTTTTTCGCTGTCGATTTCGGATTCAACATTCTATATGTGTGAGTGTGTGTATGTGTGTCGTGGGTGATAAAATCGATAAAGACGAAAGGATAATTGGAGAGAAACAAATTTAATGAGACTTTCGTGCTCGGTAGCGCAATTACAAAAAAAAAAAAAAAAAAAACAAATGGGGATGGGAAAATTTAAGCGATTCGTTCGCGGAAATACAGTCATGCACATCAATTTTCTAACGCAATCGCAATCCTTGATCAATCCCCGCGTTGTCGAATTCGAGACGCGAGCGATTAGAAATAGGTATAAGTTTGGAACTCCGAGCCAGTCCAAGCTATATCGAAGTTTTCTTGGAGACATATGTGTGTTCCAGGAACTTCGATTCTTGGGAACGTATCTCGAGAGCAAATTCTAAGAATTCTCAGAACTTTTTTATATTAGAGTCGTCCAACTGTTATTGACACAAATATAAAATTAACGTAAGTTTAAGAATCAACTCTTATGCCCGTTTTCACCAATGCAGATTAACTTTAATCTCGGTTTCTTACTCTTCGTCTTTTTCTAGTTCTAAAGATTAGAAAAAGAGATGAAGAGTAAGTTGAACTGAAATTAAAGTTAATCTACATTGGTGGAAATGGACATTAGGCTAGTATTCATAGTCGGTTCTTATATTTAAGTACAGTCTTAAGATATCATAAGCCATATTATCATCTTTAATCGGCTTTACAGATACAATAAGCCATTACCTAAGCTTTAAGTCTTAAACTGTAAGAAATTGATCAGTCGAATGTAAGAAGAATAATCGACTATGATCAGTCAATTTCTTACAGTTTAAGACTTAAAACTTAGATAATAGCTTATTATAGAAGTTCATTGGATATTAAATTATTTAAGTCGATTTTGAAATAAGAATCGACTATAAATGCCAGTCTAAATATATTCTTTTAAAGAACTTTTCGCGGATCCCTTGTGACTAAGAGTGCAGTTAAAATCTCACTACAAAGGCTTTGAAGCATTTCGTTGAGCAATTAGAAGAAAAAAATTTACTAACTGATCAATCAAAGAATATTTCAAAGCATTTGTAGCATCACGTTGACTGGAACAGAAAGTCGACTTTTATTTCCTCAGCGAGTTTGAACCTCTCAGCGTACGCAACGTGCAAAGGATCGTGATTGCATTTTAAAGCTCAACTTAGAAAAAGGTTCAGATTGGGGTTCAGACTGTGTTTGAACGTAAAAGACATTCGCCAGCATTACATAAGAATAATATTAACATGTCGGGAACGAGTAACAAGACATTAACGTAAGAGTCGTGTTCATATGTTGTGAAAAATGATATTTACGCACAGCGTTTCCAAAATAAACTGCAGTCTTCAAACAGGTCTTCACAAGCTTATTAAAAAAATTAAATTTATTTAAAAAAAAAAATAAAATAAAACTACAAAAAAGTAAAAACATTCTCGGTGCCGATGATATCACAATTATTTGACGTCGTACAATAAAATAATCATGATAGAATATTTTTTACTTTTGGTCTTAACAATAAAATCTTAAATTAGAGAGGCTTGGAAACGCCGCATCCTTGTTAATGTTGTAGCAGTTGTAAATGTGATTGGTCTGTGTACGCTCTCTCCCTAGCTAGACGCGTGTACGTCGACCTATTGTCTTCAGAGAAACGAACTTCCGCCGTAAGGAGAGCACACTGACCTACGCTTTTGTCGCTCGCGTATTTTTTTTTGTCCGTTCACTTTGCTCGTCCGCTCTACGCTTCGCCTCTCGGAGTACAAATCTTTCGTGAAAAATTGCTTGATAAGGCCAAGTCCGGATAACAAAGGATACGTGAACGGAGACGTTTAATTGTTTTACGACCGATGATTCTCTTCCCGCGTATACATTTGTTGATAACAAACAACAGCCAGACGACTTAATCACTCCGTCATCTTCCGAGTTCCGAGCTTGCCACCTGCCTTCTGCGATGAGCTCGGACAGTCCACGCGTACGTCCGCACGTATCCTTCTTCCTTCTAATACAGAACGAAAACGAGAAGAGAGTTGCTCGAAGATTGAAAACGAACACTACTTATTAGGAACACCAGCAGAACGACCGTGTATCATATATTTCGTATACGTTCTCTTTCATCGTGTGGCGTGTGCCATGTTGTGTCGTGTTGTGTCTTATCGATGGGATTGCGTTGCTGTATGTGATGTTGGTTCTCGTTTATCGCTCGCTCGCTTGCTCGCTCGCTCGCTCGCTCCTCTTTGCACGCATTACTCGTACAATCTCTCTCGCCTAAGACGTCGCGCGTGTGTCCGCCTCGGAGGGAAGGATGAGGGAAGAAAGAAAACACGAATATAAGTCTTTAGACACGCGGTCGCTTTTCGTTTTCCCGGTCGGAATCAGAGTCCGCTGAATCGTGGAGAGGCGGAAATTCGGGCACCGCCTCGCGCTGTTGCATCCATCCCGCCGCGCCTGGCCCCCCAGCCAATGCCTTGCCCTGCGTCATGTTTTTCGATTGTTTGTTTTTGTTTTGCAATTGATTTTTAGCCCTCTGTCTTTATCCCCTGCAGGATGGCGACAAAATAGCGTGTCATTGGTCACTAAGCCTCGCCTCGATACCCGATAAAAAAAAAAAGACTTGCTTCGCTTCGCGCTTCGCTCTCTAAGGAGAACGTTCGATTTACCCGCTTCGGCGAGTATGCCGAACCTTCTTCAAGCTCAGCCACGTTGCATCGGCTATACGGAAACGAGAAACAGAGATATTTTACCTTCTATATTTATTACAAAAATTTCTAGCGAAAATTTCAAGTAGATCCGATACTCGAATTTATAGTGCGGCTCGAACAGTCAGCGAAACTCGATATCTTGAAACTGTTTCGCGTTATTACTTGCGTTCACTTGTCTCTCGTTACCCGCATCTCGAAAGGATTCAGGACACTTGTTTCAGTTTCGTCCACGAAACTTAACTCGGATATTGGGAAATCCTTCCGAACTCGCCAATGCAACGAGCCAGCGTCTATTCTACTGTCTACGCGAAATTTTGAACTCTGCAAAACGAGCTACAATGAAATTTTTGATTCCATTCACTCCCTCTGTCATACTTTTTTCTTCCATCTTTCGATCTTTTGCTTATTCATTCAAACAACTCCAACCAATCAACTCTCTTTCTCTCTCATTCTCTCAGATCAAGACAAAGGCGCGCACACATACTACCTTGTAAAACCAATATACACGTGGGCCTCAGAAAATAGCATTATCGTAATTCGCGACGTTTTTTTAGATCAAATGAGCGTTGACAAACTAAGTTTCCTAATCTTCCGTGACTTGCAAAAGCGTACTTTAAGATCGCGTCCAAAGATAGACAGTGACTTTTTCGCTTCGGAGGCTCTCGTGTCTTGAAACTCTACATGCAGCCATGCATGTCACGAAAACTATCTGCCCTAGTATCTCTTCAACTATAAGATACACTCCAATGTTGCCTTGTTTTCCTTCTATCAGGCTATATATACATATTATACGTGTGAAAAACTGTGTGTGTATGTGTGTATGTATGTGTAAAGAGCTGCCTTTAAGTAAATCTCTAAGAATTAAGTATCGAAAGCCGTGTAAAGAGCGACATATGAAACCGCGCGTAATGCGTAGGGTGCGTGTATGCTGCCATATTTATGTACAAACGGATATAGATTTGTATGATTCACTGGTCTTCCGATGTTGATCTTTCAGACGCCGAAAAAGAGGAGGAAGGCAACAGAAACGTTTTTCGCGCGCGAATAATTTCAAGGTCCTGTTTTCCGAATTCTCTCGCAATTGGAAGAATATCGGTGTTAAAAGTAGCGGTTCGCACTCCTTACCACCCGTCCGAGACACTCGTCGCGATCCACTAACAATCGAAACTAAGACTTATCGCTTGCTGCCACCAAAACTTGTACTATCTATACAACAAACGGTCTATCTAACGTATCTCTACAACCTAAAAAAAAAAGGAGAAAAAGAATAGTCCCAATATCAAAATCTTATTGCACACTTAGCGAGATCTAATCCTAAGGGAAGAGCTCGAAGACGAGACCGTCTTTCTGGAGGGTATAATAAACGCACGGACAAAAAGTCTTCCGCTTTAGCTCGGAGTGCGTGTCATCTCGATGTGTACGAAATTCGATATGGAACACCCAGAAAGATCCAAAAGCTCGGTCTGCTCGACTCGTCGTTGCGTTTTCCAATTCTTCCAATGTCGACGTATTCTTCAGGATGATAGATCAATACAAGAGAAGTTGATAAAAGAGGTAATCATTCTCAACTACGTACATTGAATGAGATCTTTGATACTTGATATCAGGATATCCCGGATAGCCAAGTTTCACTCTTTCTTTCCGTAACACCGAAATTTCTATTCTTCTCAGCGTCGTTCGCAACAAATTTCCACAGCAAATTTCGCCGAGTCATTTAGAGGTTGTTGTCGCTCCCTTGCGCTTAGACTTTGCACGAGTTTCGACTTTATCGCGTTCACATCTTTAACATGCGTCGCGACGCACGCAGTCCTTCCCATGCACAGCTTAGTTCGAAAATAAATTCTATTTTTCGAGTCTACGGAGCGTGGGGATCTTCTTCTGCAGTAAACACGCGACAATCTCGTTGTCGTCGGAACGCCTCTGCGAAGCACAGGTTCGAAGTAAAAATTTCGAAACGTCCTCGGAACACATAGACACGCGGATCTGCCTGCGTACATATTGCACTATCGATGAGTTAGATCAGAGCGGAACTGGCACCTCGCGAACCGGAGAGAATCTCTCCTAACAATACTCTCCCCGAGTACTCCTCTCGTTCCTAGAATCTCTCGCCGAAATCCTCTATCTCTTCTACGACCTTTCTCTCTTTCTACTTAAAAACCGAGTTATAAGGAAAGAGATCAGGCGCTTGTTGCAATGGAAAACGATGTCTCGACCGGCCCTCGTCAGCTTCTATTTCTTTCTCTCGCTCGCACTTTCTCTTTCTCATCTCTAACTCTTTTAATATTTCTCTCATTTATCTCGCTCCTCTTTCTCTTTTATCTCATATCGAGAGGTTGCGGCTAGAGTTTCGTTTGAATTTTTCTACACGATTGCGAGCGCTTTTAAACCGGCCTGACGCATCACTGGAAACACAATAAAAAAAAGCACGAGAGGCCGAGATCAGTGTACACGTACTAGTCCCGATTTTCACGTTCACGTCTTATAACTTTTTTCCCAGCTGTGTGATTTCATTCTCTCCTCCTTTCTCTCCCCCATTCGCGTTCATCCTTCTATCTTTCTGTCTCTCGCACAATTCACACTTTCCCATCCTTTCTCTCCCTCTCTCTCGCTCTCTATCTTAGCTTCGACTGCGTGTCTTTTGCATGGCTGTCTGATCCGGGGTCTCTCTCTCACTCTCTGTCGCCTTCTAAGAATTTCGTTTCATCTGCATCAAGAAAAAAACGTCATTGAGTCGGATTGGAGTTTCTGATCTTTTTTTTTTTTTAACGACCTCGCGTCGAATCGTAATTTAAGATCCTGACGAGAATTTGTCCGATTGCAATCTTCTATTTCCAAAGTTAAATCCGATTTGTGCGACTAGTTGAAAATTCCTCGTTTAGATTTGCATAACGTAATCTCTTCGCGAACGATAAGAGAAGAATGCACGTCGTCCGGGATCGTCGTTTCCGAGTCGCGAACCGTTCGCGCGATTTCGCAGCTTCCGAGACGGATCGTCAAGGTGATGGAGAGTAGAAGAGACGGCGCAGCAGACGACCAAATGGATCGTGACAGTAACGTAGGTAGCAAAGACCGTACTAGAACTGTGCTTGCGACAATGCGCCGTCTTTCTTCTCAAAACGTCATTCTCGATATTTTAATAACGCACATTGTAGCGGTACGCGCGCAAAATAGTAAAAGACGATAATCCGAAAACGGCTGGATTAGGAAGGAAAAGCATCCTCGCTTGGACGATACGTTCGAATTTCACGTTTCTCTCGTTGCAACAAACACAGTTCCGCACTCCTTACTATTACTGTTACTTGTTAGATTCGAAGTACCAACCAACAACTGATTAGAACGAGATTAAAAGAAGAGTGAAGGAGCGGGAGGGACGGCGAAGACAAAACGAGGCGGTGATAAAGATAGTTATGACGAAATATACAAGTGGATTACATTACTTGACCGGTGCAAAATGTTAGGAGTCAATTGGCTGGCGTGTGAGAGGCTCTTTGTGCTCGTGTAAGAGTGTATAAAGCGAATGCTCATTTGTTATGTATGCGATTACGGGAAAAGTAGTTAGTGCCAGTTGCAGCATTGTCAAAGGGAGGGAATTTGTTGTCATCGCAAACTTCGTGATTATTAGAACCGATCATGTTGAACTTCACTGTCAAAACTTGCAACGTTGAAGCTGGAAAGACCTTGGAGAGATCGATGTGACAAGAAATTACAAATTCTATCTCATTAGAACAACGAAATGGATTAGAATCCAGAAGCGGTGACGTCCAGCTAAAAGCAAAGTTGATACGTGTGAGCTCGCTGTGTCTGCCTTTCACGAATGAAATTAGAAATTTAACTTAAACAGACTGAAAGATAGTATGATATTTTCTGGATAAACGACACGTAGTGAACGGTTAAGAACCGTAATGTATAATATTGCTTTTATACTTCTTTTATACTTCTTAAGACGAATTAAGAATTTAGATCGGTTGAACTAAAAGATAACGCTTTATTGTGCAAAAAAGAAGCGAGTTTGATCGTGAAAATAGTTAAAAATAAAATTGATCCGTAAATTCGCTACGTGTTTTGTGTTTCTCCACGAACCGGTTTGAAGACGCATCGATCGAACGATAAAACTGATGGAACTTAACGCCAGCAAGAAGATACAGGAGAAGACGGGCTCTGTTTCGGATCGATAAAGAAGTGGAGAGCTATACAGAAGCCGGAAGTGACTGCGGAACAGCACAGTTACGAGCATGCATTTTAGTCGCTTCATTTCAACCCTTGCGGCATCACGTGATCCCGCGCGATCATAGAATTTCTAGGTGAACCGGATCAACCACGAAATTAATTTCCTCCCGGGCTTTCCTAGGATGGCCTCGATTCCAATCGAGTTTGACGCGCTTTCTAAAATAGAAGTTTTGTCGAAAAGAAAATGAAAAAAATATTGCGCAAACATATTATTATCGATCTCCTCAACGATAATTTAATAATGGTATCTTGTCGAAATCGAAAACATGCGGATTAAATAAGCTCCTCGACAAATGATTCATCGGACAAATGTAACGATTTTTTTTATCCCGCGATAGAATTGTAGTTGAAACGAAACATCGACAAGTGATCAGCGTATTGACATGTCAGATATTGGATCCATCGGCTTGAAATTCCTACAGGAATCCCCTGCCAGACTTCTCCCGAATACTCCCGCTCACTGTGTTTACCCGCAAATTTAATTTAACGTCACTCCGTGTCATGCGACATCGTTGAAATTGTACGTCAGCGAGATTTACTACGTTCGAAGAACGAAGAGCCACGCTAGAGACGTTACGAGACGTATCCTCATGCGAAGCGCCGACATCAAAGCGGAAATTAGCATGTATGTGTCAATTTGTGAATTACGAGACGAAGTATTCTTCATTCTAGAATTCTTTAAATCTCTATAAAGTCTTGATGAAAATTTTATAAAAATGTTTACGTCGATTTAAACGGTTCGACTGTGAGGGCAGTGTAATAAACTATGGAAGCAAATCCGGGCTATAAATAGTCTCAGCGAATTTACGAAGGTTAAAGAAGAATCTAATGAAGAAGGAGGAGGAAGAAGATAACGGTCAATTTATGCGAAGGTCCTTAACGACATTTGATGAAAAAAACAACGCGAAAAGTATTTATCAAAGATTGATATAAAAAGGAACCTCAGAGGGGAAGACTGTCGAGTGTGATCGAAGAAATCTCACAAATTTTCCACCGTTCCAAATTCATTTCGTTGCGTTGCATCGTAGAGACATCGGGTGACTCGTTAGGAGAGGCGGCGCGCATCCACTAGCTCCATTAATATGTGAGAGAGCCAGCCCTGCCTAAAAAGTGACTTAGCAACTCCAATGCATACTAAGCAAACCTGGTGCTATTGGCTGCTAGTTGTGTATGTACGTGTATTTTACGCGCGCGCGCGCACGCGCGTGCGTGTGTGTGTGTGTGTGTTTGTACGTATCTATGCAGGTTCTACCCTGGCACCCCTACCCGATCCAACACACCCTTCGCACCGTGAATGTCGGCGCCCTCGAGCCCATCTTTACAAGACCAGCAACAGCGTATCCGGTCCACACACACACACACACACACACACACACACACACACACACACAATGTGTATATATATATATATATAT